CCACCGCGCCCCCCATCACTTGCACCCAGAACATGCCAGGCACCTGGTGGAATGAAATATTAACCTCCCGGAGGGGCGGCAGAGGAGCTCCAGCTGCGTGCTGGTGCTGCCCTCTGGTGGCGCTGGGTTCCCATTGCACCTGGCTTTTTAATTTCCCATCCCACCTATCGCCAGCCTCCAGGGCGTATCTCTGTGGGACTCTGTGGATGGAAGTAAAGGGAATCTTGTCCCCAGGATTCATCCCTGGATTCAGATGAGTGAGAGACCCTAGTCTTTAAACGGCCAGCTTCACAATTAACAAAGACGCCTTTCGTGTATGCTGTGGACTCTGACTGGAAAAGACACCTCAGGAAATATATATGATGGTGCCTGTCTCTACAAAATCTAACAGAGCGAGCAAGATAAGCCAGTGCAATAGTCCCAGCTTACAGAGGACATTACTGAGGCCCCAGCCAAGGCGAACAGATAAAATTACCTGGCCTAGCTGAAACCAGTTTGGCTCTGTGGATAGAGCGTCGGCCTGTGGACTGAAAGGTCCCAGGTTCAATTCCGGTCAAGGGCATGGACCTTGGTTGCAGGCACATCCTCAGTAGGGGGTGTGCAAGAGGCAGCTGATCAATGATTCTCTCTCATCGATGTTTCTAGCTCTCTGTCCCTCTCTCTTCCTCTCTGTAAAAAGTCAATAATATATATCGAGATATATATATATATATATTTTTTTTTTTTTAATTACCTGGCCTAAGAACACCCTAGAGTGATTGTCATCCATTTCCCCACCCACTGGTGAGCACAGAGCAGTCACATTTTATGCAAAGCCTGTGTTCCTGAAGACCTTGCATAATTCAAAGCGAGCATAATGCCAGGCTAATTCTGCCATAGAAGTGAATGCAAAGCAGAAAGAATGTGTTGCATAAATATACCCCCTTTGTGACGTAATTTTACTTCAATGCTGCTTTTTTTATTTCCTCGGCATTATCTCTAATATTTCACAGCGCACTCTGCTAAATGAACAGCGCAGCATTTCCTGCTGGCGGTTCGGCCTTCTTCATCACGTTTTATCACATCTCACTTCCTTTCCAACGTTATTGATTTTTCAGGTGCGTTCTTCAGCACCGCCACTTAAAGAACGCTTGGATGGCCCTGTTACAGGATACAGATAAGAGATTTAAAGTTATAATAACGGTGCGTGTTGAGAAAGCAGCACCATCGTCTCCAGAATTCCCCGCAGAAATTAGAAATTTGGATGCATGCAAACCACAGTGCGTGCATATAGAAGACAGGTGTTTCCAGTTAATAACCAGTGACACCACCGAGAGGCTGGGGCAGGTATACAGCTCCCAGTTAACAACTCACTTAGCTGCTCCAACTCTAGGAAGCTGAACCATTCGGATAAATTTTCTTACTGAGGGGTTTTGCATTATTTCCAACTTAGAGCATACACATTTATTAGCATTTTTATGTTGCATCTTCCTGAAATTGCATCATTGAATTTCTCATGAACCGTGGCCTCACCCTAGATGATTTCCCTTGCTCTGTCCTTAACTCCAGGTTGGGGGAGGGAGGCAGGAGAAGGTGGAGTAGTGGGGGAGATGGGGGGCAACCACACTCAACAATGGCAGATATGGGTTGGACTTCAGAAATCCCAGCCACCTGCCTCATACTCACACAGGGCCCCTTTGGAAGCAGCATCAACAGAACCTACCACCCACCACCATCCCTCACCACCACCTAATCCCCTCTAGCTGGGCAGCCCCCCCCCCTCCTCCTCGTCCACATCTCCTGCAGTCTGGAGAGGGGCTCCATTCCTAGGGGTCCGCCTGCCCCTCTTGCTATCAGCACTTGATCAGGTTGTCTGTCATTCTGCTCCCGCTCTCCCCTCCTCAACATAGGTCCGCGGTGGGGAGGGGACATGAAGGAGAACTAGGTCCCGGTGTCCAGCACTTACATGACCGTCGGACTTTCTATTTTGCCAAGAACAACCGCTGGGCACACAGCTCCTGTGAATTGCCTGCTTGACCTTCCTCTGCCTGGAATTGCTTTCTAGAAAGTTCCCTCTGCTTGGCCAGAGCCTGGCCCCGAAGAAGAAGGGCCAAACCCTGGGAGGAAGGAGAGGCAGGGCAGGCTCCCCTCGCTGGGCCTCAGTTTCCACCTCTGTAGAATGGGGATAGAAATACCACCCACTCTCCAGGATCACCATGAGAAAGAAACATGTTACTAAACTACTGGGGTCCACTCACCTGGTCCATTCAAAGTCCAATAAAACACAAACCGGATTTGCAGCTAAGAAAGTAGAGGTTTACTTTTAAGGAAATGGTGCCACACCCGAGTCACAGGTGAGCTTGTGCTCAAAGACCTGGCTCCCCAATAGCTCCCCAATGGCTTCCATATGGGGGACTGAGGCTGTTAGGTTGGTGGTTAGGATCATGGTCTCTGCTGATGGGTCAGAGCCAGGGTAGGGAGTAGCTACCAGATCATTGCATCTGGTCCAGATGTCAGCCATGGGGTCTTGTCTGGTTTTGCAAGGATGTGGTCAGTGGGGTCTGGAGCTGAAGCATGCCTGAGGCCAGATGTTATCTCTAATTCAACTGAAACTGTTTCTGTGGTCAACAGACCTAACACTTTGTTCTTAAGATTATTTGATGCCACCGAAACCAGTTTGGCTCAGTGGATAGAGCATCGGTTTGCGGACTGAAAGGTCCCAGGTTTGATTCTGGTCAAGGGCATGTACATTGGTTGTGGGCACATTCCCAGTAGGGAGCGTGCAGGAGGCAGCTGGTCGATGTTTCTCTCTCATTGACGTTTCTAGCTCTCTATCCCTCTCCCTTCCTCTCTGTGGAAAATCAATAAAAAAGATATTTTTAAATATATATATATAAATATTATTTGATGCTGACCAGAACCTCATTTTACTGAGGGCTTCTTTTTTTTTTTTTTTCTTTTTTCTTTTCTTTTTCTTTTTTTCAGAGAGGAGGAAGAGGAAGAGTGAGATAGAAACATCAATGATGAGAGGGAATCATTGATTGGCTGTCTCCTGCACGTTGGACTGAGCCCGCAACCCAGGCAAGTGCCCTTGACCAGAATCGAACCTAGGACCTTTCGGTCCGCAGACTGACGCTCTGTCCACTGAGCCAAACCAGCTAGGGCTGTCCTGAGGGCTTCTTGATTAAGGGGATGGACAGGCAGGGGAGAAGGTGGTGGGAGAGTCAGGGTGCTGGAGGAGGACGGCTTGAATCAAAAGGAAAGGAAGGAGGAAAAGTCATGTTAAAGAAAGGAAGTTTTGTGTGGTTACAAATGCAGTCCCCCCTGTGACAACACAGCACCCAGCACAGAATGGGGCAGATCCTGAGAGCCTTTGGGGAGTACAGGGCGGGGCGAGGGGGGGTGAGGGCCAACCTCAGAATCTGGGCTCTCAGAGAGTTTGTGGTGCCATGTTAGATCCTGGCCCAGCCAGGAGAACCCTTCCCACTAATTAACAAACTCCCTGGGGTGGGTGCATGGGGAATTGTTAGCTGAGGAGGGCAGGATCCCCACTTTGGTTTTGCCCAAGTGTCTGTCAGTCACCTTCCCCTTTAAGAGTTCAGGGGCCTGGACAGGAACCACCTGGCCTATTTTCCTTCCCCACAATCCCGGATTAAGGCCAGCCCCTCCCATGGGCTTGCCCCTCCGGCACAGCCCAGCCGGTAAATCTGCAAATTTGCCTGGTGAGTAGGTCCTTGAACTTCAAGCCACGTTCCTTCTCCTGGTCAGGAGACAGGAGGCGGTGGAATGGCCACAGCCTGGGCCTGATCTCGCACACCCTGCCCACCCCACCAACCCTGGCTGTCCTCCGCGGCACCCACACCATGCTCCGTGGATGATCCCGGGCTCTCTCTGGGATCACCCCTCAGAAAAACGGGGGGCTTCTCCAGCTCCTCCAGCTAAGCCTTTCTCGAAATGTAGGAATTCGGCCTCCACCTGCCACTCCCTGCCCCGACCAGGTGCACCATGGCCTTGCCCTTCCCCTCTCCCCCCCCCCCACCGCCCCCCATGATCCCTCCTCTCTTGCCTGGGGTGGGCAGGGGGGAGAGGAAGGGGAGGGGAAGAGAACCCGATGTCTAAGTCTAGCCCTGGGTTAAAGCTCAGGCCCTCCTTGCCCATCCCCTGCGGTTGGAATCCTCTTCCTGCACGTTCTCATCGCCCTGCGGACGCGGGGGCTCCTGAGGCCTTTCCTTCTGGAACCCCAGCTCTGTGTGCTGGGACCTCTTTCCTGGCTGGGCAGGTGCCAGGATGGTAGCTGCCTGAGGGCTGTTCAGCGAGTCTCGGGTGTGCAGGCAGCCAAAAGGAACTGCCCCAGATTCCCCCTTACCCCCACCCCACCCTCTCCCACTGCCTGGCCTCCCTCCAGGAAAGCGGTCACTTCCGGTGCTCAGACTGGCTTAGGAAGGGGGGGGGGGGGGTGGAGCAGCCGCTTTGGGTCGTGAGGTTGAGGAAAGAAGGTAGGTCGGCTGTCTGGCTCTTGTTGATCCAGTTCCAGGGCCAAGGGCCTCTAATCACGCAGAGATTTCTCCTGACCTGGGGCACTCCACCTGAGACTGCAGGATCCCTTAGGACAAGAGCGTCTGTGTCCTTCCGCCTCGAGTTAAATTTCCAAGGGCGCTTTTTCACTTGAGGCATGAGAAGCGGCGGGTTCCAGCAGTTTGGGGGATGGGGGTGCGGGGGAAGAGTCACGAGTGCGGAGAGACACAGGCTGCACAGTAACAGAGGAGAATCGCTAAGTGTCGTTGGCTTTGAGCCTAAATCCTGGTGTCAGCCCTGAAATTCCTCATGCCCCAAAAAGCATGGGCTGGAGGGAACGTCCCTGACACGCTAAGACCGTGTTAAATGCTTGCCGCACACGCCGCTGGCTCTCCTGCCTCTGCACCCTGTCCAGGGGCTCCCTGCCTGTCCATGCCGGGTCTCAGGGTGCCTCTGGCCCAGGGGAAAGTGACTGTTCTCTGTTAGGCTGCTATGACCTCAGAAGCCAGGAGTGCCTCAGCCTGGGGACCCAGGGCAGTCCCTGCTGGCTGTACCCAGACATATTTCAAGTCCCTTTCAGCCTCTGGGCCTTCTCTGCCCCCTGAGGCTGACGTGAGCAGAGAGGCCATTGAGGCTCACCCACCCTGGGTGCCATCCCCCCATTGGCCTGTGAGCAAGATCCCTGACCTGCTTGTGGGACACTCAGAATAAGTGTGTTTGTTGAGGAACCACTAGTAAGTGAATGAATTCAGGACTTGGAGGTCTAAAGCTCTTTCAGAATTAAGCCTCTGAGCGTCCTCACCCTGCAACCGCCCTTCCTTGTCCTGTCACCAGTCAGGGAACAAGATCACCTTCTGAGCCACAGCCTCCGTCTGACCCCCAGTGAAATGACCTAAAAGGTTGAGAAGATGTCCACTCCCTGTTTGTTTTTTCAGTGTAATTAGGCATCATGGAGGTCATAATAATAACTTCAAATACATATTATTTTATTATACGCCAGGCCCTGGGCTCTAGGCTTTCCCATGAATTACCTCATTTAATCCCGGTGATAATCCATGAGGTAGGTTCTATTATTAGCTCCCGCTTTTCAGGCCAGGAAATTAGGTTGAAAGAGGTTAAATTTGTCCAAGGTCACAGAGCAAGCCAGGGACAGAATTTGGGAACGTTAGGAAGTCATTTTTTTATGCATTTGTGTCGCAACGTTTTTTGCATTTTTATAGCCCTCTTTCAGACTTTGGATTTTTGTTTTTTAATTTAATGTCCTCATCTATTTTCAGTCCATTCTGCCTTGCTCTGTTTGTTTGGCACTGTTTCTGGGAAGTGTCAAATTTGTCTGCCTTGCTAAGAGACTAGAAATATTCTGTGGAATTTGTGAAAACATAGCTAAATAGGTAAAGTGGACATGGATGACTGGAAATGAATTTTTAAAATGAAACAACCTAGAAAGCAGAAAAAATTGCTTTCAAAATGCATATGGAAATTGCAAAATCTCCCCAGGGTGCAAGAATCTGCTCAAGACATGAACTGATGGCTGTAAACATTCATTTCCAACCGAATTCCTTCCCGTTGATTCACTTGAAACCTAGGAAAAAAAAAAAAAAAAGCTTTAAAATTTGTTACAGTTTTGTCAAACAAACACATAGTTGCTGGAAAGTAATTTAGAACATAAAAGCCCAAAAACCTGGAGGTCCAGATGGAGAGGGAAGAGATGACAGTAAAAGCTAAAATATTAGAAGTTTCAGGGCCACACCCCTGGTTCATAAAAATAACATTTGAATTACTGTTTCAACCAACTTTTTTTGGTGTCAGCTTTATTGACATATAATTGCATACAATAAGATGCACAGATTTTCTTTTTTCTTTTTTTTTTTAATATATTTTATTGATTTTGTACAGAGAGGAAGGGAGAGAGAGAGTTAGAAACATCAATGAGAGAGAGTCATCGATCAGCTGACTCTTGCACACCCTCTACTGGGGATATGCCCGCAACTAAGGTACATGCCCTTGAAAGGAATCGAACCCGGGACCTTTCAGTCCCCAAGCCAACGCTCTATCCATTGAGCCAAACCGGTCTCTGCAGGATGCACAGATTTTCAAGCATAGCTTGTATCCATATAACAACCATACAATCCAGTAATGATTGATGTTGACATTGATAAGAGACCGGAATTTCCATCACCCCAGAAAGTTCTTTTGTGTATCTTTGTAATCAATGATTTGATTATAATCTGCCAATGATTTACTCTCTATAACCAGAATCTATTCAAGAATTTCAGACAGGAGAGCCAAGATGGTGGCATAGGTAAACATCTATACTTGCTGCCTCTCACAACCACATCACAATTACAACTAAAAGGCAGAACAGCCGAAGCCGGTTTGGCTCAGCGGTAGAGCGTCGGTCTGCGGACTGAAGGGTCCCAGGTTCGATTCTGGTCAAGGGCATGTACATTGGTTGTGGGCACATCCCCAGTAGGGGGTGTGCAAGAGGCAGCTGGTCGATGTTTCTCTCTCATTGACGTTTCTAGCTCTCTAGCTCTCTCCCTTCCTCTCTGTAAAAAAATCAATAAAATATAATAAATAAATAAATAAATGGCAGAACAACTACCACCCAGACCCACAGTAAAGCTGGCTGAGTGGAAGTTTCACAACTAGAGAGGTGAAGAAAGCACAGTGAGACTGGTAAGAGGTGCGAAGGTGCTGTAAGTGCTGGCACCTGGATGTGCTGCTCTTTTAATCGGGAGGGAGATACAAGCTACCACTAGCTCTGAACTCCAGTTCTGGGCTAGACTCTGGGGGACCCAGCACATATGGGGAGAAACTGGACTGTCTGGCATCAGGACAGGAACACGAGGGTGGCTTTCTCTCAGAGATGCTTGCAGCGATCATTGTTCCTGCATAGGGGTGCAGGACTCGGAGACTGGAGACCCGGGAACTCTCTGGTGCAGGACTGACTGGTAGCCATTGCTGTTTGCTCCGCCCAGGTGATTTCCAGAGACCCTGCCCCACCCAATTTACAACCCCACCAAAGCTGTGTGCATTGGCTTTTGCATATGAATGGCCTGTCCTTTCTCTGACTAAAACCAGTCAAACTGCAGCTGGGTCAGAGAACTCCAGAGCTTCCAAAAGAAGACCTAAGGCCCAGCAACAGCAGCCTGCCTTGCTTCAGAGCTGGGCCTCGTCTGGGCACTTCCAAACCCCCTATAAAGAGGAGGAAGCTGCAGGTGTCTCTGTAGCTCCTGCTGGGTGGCCCCAGACAGAGGCTAACCTTGCACCTCCTTGGAGGTCCAAGAGTCAGTGTACCCAGTGGTCAGAGTGAGACCATGCCAGGTTACAACTCTTCACATCTATAAGAGACACACTTAAGGGGCAGACTCGTTGATTACCAAAGCCCCACTGAAGCAAGTCCATAAGGGTGTCTCCTGTGCAACAGATCTTCCATTGTGCACCAAGAGCATCCACCTCAGGTTACTGAGGAGGCTGAGCCACTGGGCCCTATAAGACACCTACCACACCAGGCCACTCTATCAACTCAAGGAGACTTAGGAGCTACCCAGTACATAGAAACAAACACAGGGAAGCAGCCAAAATGCAGAGACAAAGAAACAAGTCACAAATGAAAGAAATGTCAGAAAGCAAAATACTGGATATCACGTTCTAAACCACGGTTATAATGTTACTCGAGAATCTTCTAGAAACCCAAGAAATGCAGTGAGACCCTCAAGGATATGAAAAAGTACCAATCAGAAATTAAGCATACACTGACTGAAATAAAGAACAATATACAGCTCTAACCGGTTTGGCTCAGTGGATAGAGTGTAGGCCTGCGGACTGAAAGGTCCACCAGCTCTTATGTTTCCAGTTTGCAGACAGCAGATCATGGGACTTCTCAGCCTCCATAATCACATGAGCCAATGTATCATAATGTCTCCTCTCATATAGATATGTAGGTAGATGTAGATATCTATTATTTTTGAAGTTTTTTTTTTTTTTTCTAGAGAACTCTAATACACAGCCATTTAAAAGAAATTAACCAGCTGGTGGAGCTCAGTGGTTCAGCATCAGCCTATGAATCATGAGGTCACAGTTGGGTTCAATTCGATTCCCGGTCAAAGCATATTCCCTGTTTGCAGCCCAATCCTCAGTGGGGGACGTGCAGGAGGCGACCAATTAATAATTCTCTCCCATCATTGGTGTTTCTATCTCTCCCTCTCCCTTCCTCTCTCTGAAGTCAATAAAAATATTTTTAAAAGAAATTAAATGATACATACTACAAAATGAATAAATTTTTAAAACATCATGTTCAGGAAAAAAAAAGCCAATCACAAAGTACTACATATTGTATAAATCCATTTATATTAAATATCCAGAATAGGCAAACATATATAGTCAGAAGGTAGATCATTGTTTGCCTAGGACTGAGGGGGTTGGGGGAAATGAGAAGTGAGTGTAAGGGGATATGAGGTGTTATTGCCAATGTGGTTGATGAAAATGTTCTAAAATGATTGTGGTAATGGTGACAGCTCTGAATTACTAAAAACCACTGAACTGCATACTTTAAGTGGGTAAATTATGTAGTATGTAATTTTATATCACGATAAAACTTTTAAAAAGCTATTAGAGTTTATAAGTGAGTTAAGCAAGGTTGCAGAATATAAAATCAATATACAAAAATCAATTGTATTCCATATCCAGAAAAAAAAACAGATGTTTATTAAGATTTTCTAAGTAGCATTTACAATCACAACAACCTGAAAAAGAATTAGGGATGAAAATAACAAAATATATGTGAGACATGTATGCTAAAAACTACAAAACATTGATGAGGCAAAGACCTACATAAATGGAGAAATATGTGACATTCATGGTTCAAAAGACTTAAAACTGTTAAGATGACAATATCCTCCTGCACCTCCTTTCAAATTGATCCACATATTGAATACAATTTCAATAAAACTCTGTCGAGGTTTTTTTTGGCAAGCTGATTGTCAAATTTATATGAAAAAGCAAAGGACATAGACTAGACACGGAAGACAAAGTTGGAGGACTCACCATACCTGATTTTAAGACTTAATATAGTATCAATGAAAAGATCAGATCAATAGGACAGAATAGAGTTCAGCAATATGTGGTCAATTGGTTTTCAAGAAAGGTGCCAAGGTAATTCAAAGGAGAAAAAATATTATTTTCAATAAATGCTACTGGAACTTTTCAACATACCTATTAAAAGAAAGAAAAAAAAAGAACTGTGACTCATACCTGTTGCCATATACAAAATTAACTCAAAATGGATTATAGCTCTAAATAGAAAATCGTAAACCCTAAAATTTCTAGATGAGAATATGGGGGGAAATATGTGATTTGAGTTAGGCAACGATTTTTTAAATAAGGTCCCAAAGCATAAATAATAAAATAAAAAATAATAAATTAGATATCAAAATGTAAAATACCTGCATTTCTACAGATGCTGTTAAGAGAATATGAACACAAGATAAAGACTAGAAAAAATATTTGTTATGTATATTTTTTCTTATTATTATTTTGTTGTTGTTAATCCTTACCTGAGGACATTTTTTCATTGATTTTTTTTATAGAGAGAGTGGAAGGGAGTGGGAGAGACAGAGAGAGAGAAGCATCAATGTGAAAGAGACACATCAATTGGTTGCCTCCTGCATGCACCAAGGATTGAACCTGCAACTGAGGTACATGCCCACGACCTGAATCCTTCCCATAAAGGATTTTTATCTAGATACATAAAGAACTCTCACAGCTCCATAATAAAAAGCAAACATGGGAGCAGACACTTCACCATAGAGAAATATGAATAGCACTTAGGCACATAAGAAGATGACATCATTAGCCATTATAGGAATGCAAAATTAAAACCACAATAACAGATCACTACACATTTATTAGAGTGAATAAACATTTTTAAAGTGACAATACCAAGTTCTTGTAAGGATGCAGAACAGCGGGAACTCTCAGGCATCTCTGGTGGGTACAAACAAGTTGGGAGGAAAATTGTCAGTCTCTTAAAAAGTCCAACATGCCCTGGCCAGTTTGGCTCTTTCAGACTTCTGCCCTTGTTTCATAAGAACAAACCCAGGTTGTAGATTCTACACTAATAAAAGAGAAAGAAGCAAATGGACTGTACCTCCACAACACCCACCAGCCAATCAGGAGTAAGTATGCAAATTAACCCAACAAAATGTTGGGTTAATTTGCATAAGCAGGCACTGAAGACTGAAGGCTCTGCTGCAGCCAGAGCCAAGCCTGAAGGCTGAAGGCTGAAGGCTTGGTTCCACTGTAACCCAGGTCCCAGGTGCCGGAGGAAAACCAGTGCCCGCAGCCAGGGGAAGGAAGGCCTATTGCATGAACCTTCATGCAACGGGCCTCTATATCATAAAAGGCCTGTGTTCGTGACACCATGACAGTGTCACAATAAACTACTGGGGGTGCATTGATGGGTCTTACAGTGGGCGGGACTTCAGGGTCCCATAGCAGCCACAGCACCAGGACTTCTGGAGCGTCACAGGGTGCCGGCAGTGTCCGCAGAGTGTGTGAGGCTTCATGGGACAGAGGACCTGGTTCTGATGACAGGTTAGGTCTAGGGGACCCCACACACACATGATTTAATCATGCGCTGGGCCTCTAGTTGAAAGATAAGATGGAGGAGAGCTTAGTTATCCCAGCTGAAGCCATCCTAACTAATCTATATGAGAGACCACAAAACATGTGAGAAAGCCCAGCCAAGATCAGCTGAACTGCCTAATTGAGCCACATACTTGTAATCTAAATTTTGAAGAGTTTGTTACACAGCAATAGCTAACTGATACAGTTAGTGCAATGATGACAAATGTGCCCAGTGACAAGAGGAGATGTGGGAATCATTGAAAGAGCAGAGAAAAAAAATTAAATTAAATTAAACAAGGAATACAAATATGGGACAGGCACTATACTAACATATTATCACCATTCTCTGTTATGTTCCAGAGAAGTTAGGTGATCGGCCACAGCCAGAAAAATTGAAATGTGGTGGACCCAGGTCTTGAACTTAGCTGACTCTAGAGGGTAAAGTTTTCATTGCTATGCTATACTACAAGGGACAGAAAAAAGCATAAACTTAGCAAAAGGATTTCTTATTATGGATTTTGTGGCTCCAGAATTGTAATTAACTCAATTCATTTCTGTATTCAGTCATTCACTCAGATAACCTATATGTTAAACTTGGGTTCTTTGTGTTCATTTCAGACCATTCAAAACCCACTAATGGCAAAAAAGGCCATCAATATGCCAGTGTAAGGTGTCCTATGAATCATCTGAACTGAATAGTGAGCCCAGTAGAGGGGAAGGAGCACAGGAAGGGTCAAACATAAAGAGCATTCAGAAGATGTTTGTTAAATTAAACCAATTTCAAATTCCCAGGGATTCACACCACTCTGTCCCCTCTGCCAGGTTTACAGCAATGACCCAAAGAAGGAAGCCAACCTTGACCCACATCCACCAGGTGGCAGCCCTTCTGCAAACACACCAGTATTTGCATATCTGCTACCCAGCCCAGTCCGTTTCTCCACCCTGTTCTTTGGAATCCCAGAGCTTGGTGAGGAGTGCAGCTGAAGTGGCTGGACTCACTCTCTGGATCTGGCTAATTGCTGCACTGACCCTTCCTCTTGGACAGAGAAATACCCACAGTAGCCATCTAGAGTTCTGTGATTCAAGCAAAAAATACAGACTCCAGGCAACTTACACAGAAAGAAGGTCATTGGAAGAGTCCAGGGTTGCTCAGAGAACTGGGGAAAAGCTGAAGAACAGGCGGGTGGGGGGTGTAATAGCAAGCAGGGCAGCTCCAGGGGGTCTCAGAGGCAGGAAATGGCGAATGGACTTTTGGGCATTGCCGCCACCAGGAATCAGCTGTAACAGACTTAGGTATTGTTATTGTTTCTGCTCCGGATTCCATTTCAGAGAGAGAAAAAGTAAGGGGCTCAAGGTGGCAGCACATTCCTCCGATACATTCATTCCTGTTGTTATGACAAGGAGAGGGGCCCTTCCAGAAAACTGGGACTTCTCAGAGACAAGTTTCCCTATTTGTCATTCAATTATTTGTCAGGTGAACAACCAGACCTACGAGAGGAAAGACTGGAGCACGTACTGTTCTTAACGAAACCCACAACCTTCCAAGTTTGGCCCCGGAGCAAGACCATCCAAGTAAGGTTCGGATGACCAGCTCAGTCCACTTAAGTCTTTCCTTCCCCAAAGGTGATAAGGTGACCAGAAGGCAGCCTCCACCTGCCCATAACTAGGAAGCGGGAAGTCCCTGGAGTGTGGGTATCACAGGGTGAGGACCAGAGGGCTAGTGAGAGAGCGCAGGGCCTAGGGCAGAGCTCCGCTGAGGCGTTTGCCCCGGCCTGGGGGGCTGCTGGATGGAGCTTATTTCCCATAACCCCTCCCAGATCCCTATGGCCCACTAGGGCTGTGCTAAGCTCAGGTGAGCATATATGTAGTTAGCATGTGAATCTTCAAATATAGTTCACCAGCTTTACCTTTTATATGGAAAAGTAAGAAAACTCTGCCAATAACCCCCAGGTACCTATCCAACAATTATCAACACTTTGCCTATCTTATTTCATCCACCATTTTCTTTCTTTCTTTCTTTCTTTTTTATTATTTTTTTTTTTTAGGGCTTCCCTTATTTTTTTATTTTTATTTTTTAATATTTTTTTATTGATTTTGTACAGAGAGGAAGGGAGAGAGATAGTTAGAAACATCGATGAGAGAGAGTCATCGACCAGCCGCCTCTTGCACACCCCCTACTGGGGATATGCCCAAAACCAAGGTACATGCCCTTGACCTGAATCGAACCCGGGGCCCCTCAGTCCCCAAGTCGATGCTCTATCCATTGAGCCAAACCCGTCTCGGCCATCCACCATTTTCTTTTCTCTTTGTTGACCGAACTGAGTATTTTAAAGCAAATGCCGGATACCTGGCCAGTAAATGGAATGGTACCAATCCAATGGTGTTTGAAATACACTCCCTACTTTCAACCATACTAGCTAGAATTTTGAGTGAGAAGTCTGAGACCCACTGGTAGAGTCCAACCCAACGGTGTATAATAAAGAGACTCAGAAGTGAGCTGCCCAACGCCCAACGTTGGTGCTTGAGCGGAACCAGGGAGAAGTCAGCCCGTGCGCCTGTCTGAAGAGTGAGTGTCCGGGGCTAGGGACCACTTCCCAGGCTCAGTCTTGGGAGGGGACGGAGAACCCTCCATGCCCTGTGGGCAAGAGAATCCAAGCCTTAAACCCCAGGCCAGTGAGTGAGGGGCAAAGGATGCAGCCGGATGCTGGAATCTGCCAGCTGCGGTAACTGGATTGGGGGTTCTGGGCCACTGGCTGGGGCGAGATACCTGGGGCTGGGATGGCCTTGGAAAGAGCAAGTACCTATTGTTGGATAGGTACTTGCTCCCACTACCAGCTGGATTGGCCCGGGGCCCCTCCGCCACCCTAGGTCGCCAGCTGGGAGGCCGGCCGCGAGGCTGGGCACCGCCCGCGCCCGGGGCCGGGAACAGGAAGTTGTCCTTGGCGGGCAGGGCCTGGGTGCGCCTCGCAGGTGCAGGTGCAGCGCTGCGGGGGGCGCGGGCCGGCAGGGAGCGCGGAGAACCCGGTGAGTGCGGGGTCGCTTTGGGGACCTGAGAACACCAGCCCTGGGGCTGGAGCTCGCAGGCTGAGCCCGGCGGCCGCATTGGGAGGAGGATTTTGCAAGGAAGGGGGGAGGAACCAGGGGAGAGGGCGAAGCTTTGAGGCTACCCACAGGTCTGGAATGGGGGGACCCGATGACAGATTGAGGTCCTGTAATAGGGGCGTCATGGCATCCGGGGTCTGAGAGCGCTGCAGGGAATCGCGGGTTTGGGAGAGGGCTGGGGAGGGGGAGAGTGGGGGGAAGGAGGGAACTGCACAGATGTTTGGCAAGAGTGAGCTGGGACTAAGTGACCGACCCAGGGCCAGGGCCAGCGGGGGCGTGGGTGTTCCTAGACATGGAGGGAAGCGAGGGGTGCCAGGGCCGGGGAGGAGGGAGCGCAGCCTGCACGGGGATTTGGGGCGACCAGCTGAGTCGGGGTGTTAGCCTTAGAAGGGTCGGAGCCAGCGGGGTTTGCAGGAAGAGGGTGAGGCTCAAACACCCAGAAGAACCTTCGGAGGCTGCCGAGAGCTGGGTGGCGGTCGGGCCCCCGACGCGGCCAGACTCTGACTGTCTGGGTACTGTGGCTTTAAGAGGCCGCTGGGCTGCGGGCTCTTTAAGGAGGAGGCGGAAGTGAGTCCTGGCTCCGGGACTGGGCCGGAACCCACACCGCACCGGGAAAACGTGGGCTGTGGGCTGACACTGCCCGGCCTCCTCCCGCGTCCCTCGGACCCGCCCCGAGCCTCTCCGATCTCCCCTGGACCCCTGTTTCCAGACATCCCTCTCCCCCCGCGCCGCACGTCCTCCCTCCATTCAGCTCCCTGCAGGCCTCCCACCTCCCTGCCACCCCCTCTCTTCCTGTGCAGCCCACGCCTCCCTCTCTGCACTCTCCCCACGCAGCCCTCCAGCCCCTTGGCCCTCATTCCTACTCCCCCTTTTCTTTTCTTTCCCCTCCTCTCCCCTCCCTTGTTCTCCCCTGCTATGTCCTCGGCCTGTCCACCACCCCTACCCTGCGCCCTGTGTCATGAGGCCCCTCAGCGTGGGAGCTGGTTGTGAGGCTCACCCCAAAGCCCAACCTCCCCATCCTAGAGGGCAGCGGGAGGAGGCCTCTGGGCCCTCCCCCAGGTGACTCTTGAGGGCCGCGGCCTGAGGATAAAGTAGAGTGTGCTTCCCTCCCAATACTCCGGGAGACCAGTTCTGGCCATGCTGTGACCCAGCTCCTCTGCCACCATGAACAGGGCCCCTCTGAAGCGCTCCAGGATCCTGCACATGGCCCTGATGGGGACTTCCGACCTCTCCGGCGAGGCGGAGGCCAGCCAGGGGAAGCCCTTCCTGCTCCGGGCCCTGCAGATCGCCCTGGTGGTCTTTCTCTACTGGGTCACCTCCATCTCCATGGTGTTTCTCAACAAGTACCTGCTGGACAGCCCCTCCCTGCAGCTGGACACCCCCATCTTCGTCACCTTCTACCAGTGCCTGGTGACCGCCCTGCTGTGCAAGGGCCTCAGCACCCTGTCCGCCTGCTGCCCCGGGGCCATGGAGTTCCCGGCCCTGCGCCTGGACCTCAGGGTGGCCCGCAGCGTCCTGCCCCTGTCCGTGGTCTTCATCTGCATGATCACCTTCAACAACCTCTGCCTGAAGTACGTGGGGGTGGCCTTCTACAACGTGGGCCGCTCCCTCACCACCGTCTTCAACGTGCTGCTCTCCTACCTCCTGCTCAAGCAGACCACCTCCTTCTACGCCCTGCTCACCTGCGGCATCATCATCGGTGAGTGGCAATCCAGGGCTGTGGGAAATAGAGGAGGTATGGGGGCCAAAACCCGAAGGAATAGCCCTGCCAAGCATCTTCCGACTGTATCCTTCCCAGCTCCCTCAATGGTAATATGAGGATGAGCCTGAGAGGACAAATAACTTGCTTGAGGTCACCCCGAAAGTTGGGTGTCCAGGTAGGGCCCCTCAGACAGGTGGAATTATGATTTCTACTTCACAGGGGGAAACCCAGGCACAGAGTGGTGAAGTAACTTGCCCAAGATTGCACAGCTAATAAGTGGCAGAGCTGGGATCTGATCTCAAGTAACCAGACTCCATACACTTGACCTCTAAACTCAGGTGTCCTGACTCCCCATCTCATTTCTATGAGACAATTCCTCTTTTAATAAATATACTGTCATCCTGACCTTGCAGGTGCATAATAATAATAACACCTGAGACAGTGGTAAGAGATATGCTTTTAGAGGTCTTAGCTGTCTTCCCAGACTTGACCTTCAAAAAAAAATCACAATTATTGCCCTAGCTGGTTTGGATCAGTGGATAGAGCGTTGGCCTGCGGACTAAAGGGTCCCAGGTTCAGTTCCAGCCAAGGGCATATGCCAGGGTTTCGGGATCGATCCCCAGTAAGGGACATGCAGGAGGAGGCAGCCGATCAATGATTCTCTCTCATTGTTGATGTTTCTATCTCTTTCTCCCTCTCCATTCCTCTCTGAAATTAATAAAAATGTACTTTTTAAATCACAATTACTGATGGGGACATTGTGCTAATCATTTCACATATTATAGCATCTCCTTTGTTCCCCAGAGGTTTCTGGGCACCATGATCATCTCTATCCAAACAAGGAAACTGATTCTCAGAGAGATTAAGTTATTTGTCCTGGGCCACATGGCAAGAAAGTAGCCAGGCTGGGATGCAAACAGATTGATCAGACTGCCAGTCCTATGCTTCTAACCACTCTGCTCTATTCTTATCCCCTAGATGTTAAAGCTGCACTACCCAATACAGTAATCACTGGGCACGTGTCAATGATAAGATGCATAGGCACTTAACACTTGTTTATATCAATTAGCCTATCTATATAATATATATAAAAGGCTAAGCGACCGTCACATCCAAAACAACCGAACAGACAACTGAAAAGGTTGTGTGAGTCAACCATGGCAGAGGGGTTAGTGAGTTACGACCAAACGACTGCAGGCTGCATGAAGTGACCAGGCTGGCAGGGGGGGTGAGTAAGGGACAACCAAAGGACCGAACTGCAGGCTATGTGGGGTGACCAGGCCCACGGTGGGGAGGGCAGGGCTGTGAGGGGCAACTAAGCGACTGAGCAGCAGGCTTTGTGGGGCAACCATGCTGGCAGGGAGGTTAGTGAGTTATGACCAAAGGACCAAACAGCAGGCTATGTAGGGCGACCAGGCCCATAGGGCTGCAGGGGGCGGGCAGTGAGGGGCAACCAACCAACTGAGCAGCAGGCTTTGTGGGGCAACCATGCTGGCAGGGGGATTATGAGGGGGTGACCAAATGACCAAACCGCAGGCTGCGTGGGGTGACCAGGCCCACAGGGGGGCAGTTAGGGTGACCAGGCTGGTGGGAGGCATTTGGGGGCAACCAGGATGGCAGGGGTGGCACTAAGGGGCAACCAGGCCAGCAGGGGGTGGGGCAATAAGGGGCAATCAGGTGGGTAGGCAGGTGAGCAGTTAGGAGTCTGTGGTCCCAGATTGTGAGAGGGATGTCCGACTGCCTGGGGATGAGGCCTAAACCAGCAGTCAGACATCCCCCAAGGGGTCCCGGATTGGAGAGGGTGCAGGTTGGGCTGAGGGGATCCTCCTATGCATGAATTTCATGCACCAGGCCTCTAGTATATTAATGTATATTGTTTTAGGAGCAGAACCTGTGGATGACATTAAGTGAAGACTTACTGTAATTCAAATTAAATGAAATTTTGAAAATTCCTCGGTTATAGATGTTTAACCTGATTCAGTAGCCACATGTGGCCAGTGGCGACTGTATTGGACAGCACATACTATAGACCACATGTTGTTTTATCGCAGCACACTGGGTAAGAGCACCCCCAGCAGCCCCCACTGTTCCTGGGCCTCTGTCACCCAGGAATGCGATCCTTCCTTAAGCCTATTCAGGTTTTTTTCTGGTGCTGGAAAGTTTGTCTTGGTTGACCTACATATTCTTCACTGGTGTCTCAGAGCCCAGGGCCAAAATATCGATAGACTGGTTGCCGGGGCGGGGGGGGGGGGGGGGGGGGGGCATCCCATGCCACCCGTCCTAGAAAATGTTCCCCCTTCAGCAAGGATCTAGGGCTGCTCGGTCTAGCCCCAAGATCAGGGAGGGAGGGAGGGGGGAAGGGTGGAGGTTAGAGTGGGAAGAGCTGCTAAGATCCTGGCCTATCTTTCTCAGCTGCCCTCTCTTCCCCTCCCAGGAGAGGCCTCACTTTCTCCCACACTTCCCCAATGTCTGAGGGATCTCCACTTCAATCTCAGAGACCGTGTGTGTGTGTTGGTGGGTGGGGGATGCTCTTGGTGGGAGAATTTGTGTGGAGGAAGGTGATGTCACTAGGGAAACTGGGCCCAAATCCGAAAAGTAATTCAAGTAGCTGATGGTGAGATTGCTTCTGAGAAGGTGCATTCACTGGCCAGCACAGGGAGGCTGGTGCTCTCTGTTGCCCTAGGACCTGTTCCCTCTCTGCAGTGGTTCCCCTTCCTTCCTCCTTGTGGAGGAAGATGGGTCAAAGGCATCTACCCTAGACCTCCTCCTCCTCCTCCTCCTCCTCCTCCTCCTCCCTGCCCCTTTTGCCCCCAGGTCGCACTGCCTTTCAAAGCTCTCTAGCTGAGAATACCTCCTGGTCTGGGACCTTGAGGTGGCAGTCCCTTCTGGGCCTCTCTGAATAAGCCCACCCACTCCATCCCCAGAGCAGGTCTTTGGGTAACCTGTTCACAAAGGCTCTACCAAGAAAGAGAATGCTGGGAGTGAGTTCCTGTAGTGTGGCAGGTGACTCATCTCCTTCAATCCTGACAAGTGCCTCCAGAACAACCTCTATTCAGTCACTCAACAAGTATTAATTGAGATCTGGCACATGCTGGGGACTTTGCCAAGCTTGGGGATACATATTTGGGGAAGGCAGACTCAGCTTCTACACCCCTGGGGGTCACAGTGATGATGCATGGCAGTGCATGAGCTAAGACTGAGTGGCAAGAGCTGTGATGGGGACATAGAAGGTGCTGTGGGGATCCTGGTTGGGTGGGGAGGGAGAGGTAGTTGGGAAGGGTCAGCTAAGCAGGCCTTCTGGAGGAAGTGCTAGATGGTGTCAGGAAGGAGTGAGGAGGGACTGTTCAGGCAGAAGGAAGGGCATGTGCCCTTCATGGCTGGGTCCAGGCAAGACTCCCTACCTGTGAGGCTTCCCAAGTGAAGTGAATCTGGAGTATTTGCTGAGGGCAGTGGGAGGCTGGGAGGAGCTTTAAGCCAGGACAGGACCTGAGCAGATCTGTATGTGAGGAAGGTCCTTGTCATTCTGATTGCAAGGTGGAGAGTAGATGGGTTGGAGAGGAGTGTCAAGACAGGGACCAGCCCAGCCAGCGAGGCTCAGTGGTTGAGAGTTGACCTATGAACCAAGAGGTCACCATTCAATTCCAGGTCAGGGCATATGCCTGGGTTGCGGGCTCGATCTCTAGTAGGGGGCGTGCAGGAAGCAGCCAATCAATGGTTCGCATGGTTGATGTTTCTATCTCTCCCTCTCTGAAATCAATTTTAAAAAAAAAATTTTTTTTTAAGAAAAGACAGTGACCAGATCTCTGCAGCTGAAGGAAATGGGAGCTCAGAGCAGTTAAGTAAACTTTTCCCAGGCCGCCCAGCCTTGAGATGGCAAAGCCCCAATCTGACACCAAAACTTCCCTCCTGCCCCATGTTGCCAGATGCAGTAACGGGGTATACCCCATGTAAGAGTCAGTCCTGCTTACTGGGAAAGTGGGGTCTGGCTCAAGGTACTGTCCCCGTGGGCAGGTGCCCAGCAGCCCATGGCAGGCCAGGGATCTAGAAGGGAAGAGCAGGCAGGAAGAGGTCTTGGGACTGGGCGTATCGGAAAAAGACTCAGGCTTCCATCTTACACACCAGGAAGCCCAGCCTCTGAGACCTTAAAAACCACTCACCCACAGTCATTGTAACCACTAAATACTCATCCTTCAGAACTCAGTTCTAGTTTCCAGAGGCCCCAGGCCAACACAGTCACCCACCCAGTGATGGGTTCTCACAGCACCCTGTACTCCTTTATGGGCCTCATTACAATTGTTACGCAATGAATTGTTTCAACGCTTTTCTCCTTTGCTGGAACGCATGTGCGCACGCTCCGTGAGGAAGGCTCCTGTCCTGGGCCACTTCCCAGCCCTTGTATTGTGCTTTGCATGTGGTGGAGACTTCCGACATATTTGTTGCAGAGCCAATTGGGAGGGGTGGTGAGGCAGCATTACAGTTTGTGAACTTTAGGGGGAAACTTCTCTGTCCTTCTCCCTCCCGTCCTCACCCACGCCCCTTCTCCTGTCCCCACTGCAGGTGGCTTCTGGCTTGGTGTGGACCAGGAGGGGGCAGAGGGCACCCTGTCTTGGACGGGCACCCTCTTTGGCGTGCTAGCCAGCCTGTGTGTCTCGCTCAACGCCATCTACACCAAGAAGGTGCTCCCGGCGGTGGACGGCAGCATCTGGCGCCTGACCTTCTACAACAACGTCAACGCCTGCGTGCTCTTCCTGCCGCTGCTCCTGCTGCTGGGGGAGCTCCAGGCCCTCCTCCGCTTCGCCCAGCTGGGCAGCGCCCACTTCTGGGGCATGATGACGCTGGGCGGCCTGTTCGGCTTTGCCATCGGCTACGTGACGGGACTGCAGATCAAGTTCACCAGCCCCCTGACCCACAACGTGTCGGGCACGGCCAAGGCCTGTGCCCAGACGGTGCTGGCTGTCCTCTACTACGAGGAGGCCAAGAGCTTCCTCTGGTGGACGAGCAACATGATGGTGCTGGGGGGCTCCTCCGCCTACACCTGGGTCAGGGGCTGGGAGATGAAGAAGGTGCAGGAGGAGCCCAGCCCCAAGGTGGAGGAGAAGAGCAGCCTGGGGGTGTGAGCTCCTGCGGGGACCTCGGGATGGCCCGCCCAGGAGAGCGCCCCCGGGAGGAAGCCCATGGATGCAGCAGAGGCCTCTCTGACCCAGCCAGGGAGTCCTGGAGGGGTGTTTGCAGACGGATTGGAACCTGGTGATCAAAACGGAACAGTGTTTTCAAGTAATGTCGGAAAGTCACCGATCCTCTCAACTTCCTTTCCCATCTGGGGGAAGGACCCCCGTGGGAAGAGCACCTCGGCCCTTGGGGAGTAGAAAAGTGGCACACCCCTTCCTGCCCCGTCCCAGGGCTTTCTACCTCCACAGGGTCTTCGGGGTTGAGGACAGGCCACAAGCTTGAAGGAACATATGGCGAAGCCACCTGGTCTTCACTTGTACTCAGGGAGACGTGTCTGACGCCACCACAGGGCAGCTAAGGGGTTTGGGAAACCTCACATCCCAGGGTCCCGGGCAGGCAGCACAGCTTTCACCCCACAAACCCAGCTCCGGTTGGGCTGAGGAAGGAAAGGGACCAGTGTCCCCTCTTCTCTGCAGAGAAGCCACCAGGCCCCGTGGAAGGGGCGAAGGGATCAGTTGTACCACTGGGAAGTGGCCTGGGAACGGGGCACATCATGGAAAAGCGCCCTTTCCCCACCATCTGCACCCCATGTTTCCAGCTCTTGAACATGAAGAACCACACATCTCTTACAGGTTAAACGGAGTCATTAGCACGCCCCTCGCCCCTGACACCCGTTTTATTGCCTCATTCTGTCTCCCCGCAGCCAGTGCGGCCGCCTGGCTCAGGAAGTGGAGCCCGGAGCCACTCCTGCTTCTCCCAACTGCCTCCCCCAGAGCTTCTCCCCAGGGGGCTGATGGAGCAGTGACCCAGCTCAGCACCTTCCACCTCAGCTGTGCTGGGCCCCCCGGATCCCTGCAGGAAGGCACGTAACCTGCTTCTGAGCCTCTGCCCTGCTCAGTGAGCCATGGCGTTCTTCCCTAAGGGTGCGGCCGAAAGAACCAGATCACCCTCTCACCACACCCCCGGGCCTCTGGCTCCCTTTCACCCCTGGCCCTTCCGTTGGGCATTTTATTCCACCCAGCTCCTTGGGGTAACTCCTGGTGGTTTAGTCCCTAGAGCACATGTGTCAAACACAAGACCCGCGGGCCAAATCCGTCCCGCCAGGCCTTGCAATGTGGCCCACACCGCGCTGTCATCACTGCACTCCGCTGCGTTTCCATCACAATGACAGTATATGACTGTTCAGTAAACCATTCGGCCCGCGATTTAGGCTGGATTTTAGATTTTGGCCCCTTCTCTGATTGAGTTCGACACCCCTACTAGAGAGTGGGTTTTCTCAACACCCCCTTTTCCAGTCTCCCCACAATCCCAAATGGTTTCTAATGAAGTTGGTAGGGCCTGATGCCCTGAATTGTGTGTGACTTAATTAAAATTGAAGTAAGCCAGCCTGTGTATATGTGTGTGTGTGGCGGGGGAGGCGGGGGCTGAGTGCAGGAAGGGGCTAGCTAGGCCTAGATAAATTTATGAACACGGCCCTGAGGAGAAGCAGTGGGTCTGTAAAGGTCAGGAAGACGCGACCCTGCCCTCACCAAGTCCAGGTACCAGCAGGGCAGTCCTTCTAAGAAAAGCATTTTCTCTTGGATCAGAGCCACTTCCTGGGACGTAGGTGGCCAACCTCAGGTTTCATATTCGCAATAGCTGTCGTTTACTGGCACTGTGCTGCGTGCTCTACATCCGTCATTCATCTTTACAACCCCACCACCCACATGTACCCTGTGACCTGGGCGCACTCACTGATCCCCACTGTATATAGGAGGATACTGAGGCTCAGAGGAGCATAGGAAGGGAGAGGCTACAGAGGATTCAGATGAAAGTCTCTGCTTTCACAGCATAGATATTAACTACACTCGGCATTGTTGAGTACTTACAATGTGCCAGGCACTGTGATAAGTCATATTAATATAAAAACCCAAATCTGCTTCGAAGGGCTCACATGTAAACACATGTCAAGGCTCAATAATGGAAATAGTAACCTAGTGCCCTGAGTTCTCGGAGGTTATGCTTTTTTCCTGACGATTTTTGTTCAAAAAAAATGGTGCTCATCAATGAACATGCCCAAGCCCCTTCCTTATCTTGCAGCCTAGGAAAGCTAAGGCACAGAAAGTTTAAAGGAGGCTTCTGAGGCCACAGAGCAAAACAGTAGTGAGCCCAGAGTGGAACATGAGTCTCCTGGTCCTAATCCAAAGAGCTGCCCTACCTGGTTTGGCTCTGTGGATAGAGTGTCAGCCTGCAGACTGTGCTGACTTCAGTTCTGGTCAAGGGCATATGCCTGGGTTGTGGGCTCGATCCCCAGTGGGAAATGGGGGGAAGGGGGTGCAGGAGGCAGCCAATCGGTGATTCTCTCTCATCACTGATGTTTCTGTTTCTATCCCTCTCCCTTCCTCTCTGAAATCAATAAAAAATTTATATTTTAAAAAACAACAACAAAGTACAATCAGGAGAAATCAAGATGGTGGCATACGTAAACACCTAAACTGCTGCCTCACACAACATTTTAAAAACTACAACTAAAAGACAGAAAGGACATCATCCAGAACCACAGGAAGGCTGGCTGAGCGGAAATTCTACAACTAGAAGGAAAAAGATACTGAAAACCTATTTGTAGAAATGATGACAGAAAACTTCCCCCACCTGATGAAAGAAACAGACTTACAAGACCAGGAAGTGCAGAGAACTCCAAACAAAAGGAATCCAAAGAGCACCACACCAAGACACATCATAATTAAAATGCCAAGAGCAAAAGACAAAGAATATTAAAAGCAGCAAGAGAAAAATAGTTATCTACAAGGGAGCACCCATACGATTATCAGCTGATTTCTCACCAGAAACTATGCAGGCAGATGGGAGTGGCAAGAAATATTCAAAGTGATGAACAGCAAGAACCTACAACCAAGATTACCCAGCAAAGCTATCATTCATAATCGAAGGTCTGATAAAGAGTTTCACAGATAAGAAAAAGGTAAAGGAGTTCATCACTGCCAAACCAGAATTATATGAAATGTTGAAAGGTATTCTTTAAGAAGAGGAAGAAGAAGAAAAAGGTAAAGATAAAAATTATGAACAACATATCTATCAACAAGTGAATCTAAAAAACAAGTGAATAAAAATCTGATGAACAGAATAAACTGGTGAATATAATAGAATCAGGGGCATAGAAAGGGAGTGGATTGACAATTCTCGGGGAGAAGGAGGTGTGCTAGGTGCGGGAAGAGACTGGACAAAAATCATACACCCATGGATGAGGACAGGGATGGAGGGGTGGGTAAGGGCAGAGAGTGGGGTGGGAACCAGGTAGAGGGGAACTATGGTGGGGAAAAAGAGGAATAATTGTAATAATCTGAAAAATAAAGATTTATTTTTTAAAAAGTGCTTTGTACATACTTGAGATCATACCTTAATTGGCAGGGGAGCTATTTTATTAATTTAGCAAACACCTACATCAATTTACTAGATAGCAGGCACTGTTGAAAGTGCTTTACAAACATTCATTTCAGCCTCATAACAACCAGGTGGGGGTATAATAATATCTCATCTCACAGATAAGAAAAACTAAGGCACAGAGAGGGTAAGTAATTTGTCTGAAGTCACACAGTTAATAATTAGGATTCGAACCTGGGCAGTCAGCTTCTCAATCATAAAACTATGGCTTTCAATCTTTTCTCTAAAGATGAAAGGAGTCTAGGCTTTGGGTAAAAGACGAGCTGTGTGGGCTTAGCTAAATCAGTTCATCTTTCTGATCTTACTCATGTGAAAGAAATGAAAGTTATTCTAAATTAAAAAAGAACATGACTGAAAGAATCAACATATGAACTTCAGTTGTTAGATGAGAAGACTGAGGTCCCAAAGAGTCTAATGACTTGCCCAATACGCCAGTGACAAAGTGGAGTGTGGTACTCGGCTCTCCTGGCCCTCCTGTCTGATAGGCTTTCTCCACTGTGCCTCTTTGGTGGGGAAGCTGCCTCACCAGGTACAGCCCTAGTCCAGCCCCAGCCCCAGCCCCGCCCCCACCCCACCCCCAAACCTTGGTTCCTGTGAAGGGGCTAAGTGTAGATCTTGAAACCAGCTGAAATGGGAACCGAAAAGCCCGCTGCACTGGAGCACCTGGTCCAGGTGTGCTGAGAGCTTAGACAGAGGACGGCTGTGTGAGGGAGGGAAGGGGTTCTGGTGTGGCTACGCCCCTGGGGGATTTATAACATTAGAGCTGGAAATGAGTTTGAAAATCAGAGTCCAGCCCCAAATCCCACAGACAAGCCTGAGGCTCAGAGAGATCATATCTGACTTGCCCTAGGTCACAGTGTGATGGGGAAGAACCCAAAACCCTCCTCCTCCCAGGACAGTGCCTTTTCACTGAGTACCATCATCATCATCCTAACATCATCCTTTTTTTTTTTTTTTTTTAAGGCAATATCAATTTTTAGAGAGAGAGATAGGGAAAAAGAGAGAAAGAGAGAAACATCAACATGAAATGGAAATATCAATCATCTGCCTCCCCAATGCCCCCAACAGGGATCGAGCCTGCAGCCCTTTGGAGCAGCATCATGGTTGGACCTCACGGACCACGAGTGGTCCACGGCCCACCGGTTGGCGACAGCTGTTTTGGAACATGGGAGGACTCCCCAACCAACTGAACCACACCAGCCAGGACCATCATTTTTTAAAATAATAATTACTATTATGATTTAAATTTTTATTATATAATGTATCATTATAACTATATTACTAAATATTAAATAATATTCTTGCTAACATTTATGGGCTACTCACCAGGTGCTATTGTAAGCATTTGCTATATATTAACATCTGAGACAGGTACTATTAACAACCCCATTTCATGGATGAGAAAACCAAGGCCTACAGAATTTAGCGGTGTGCCCGAATCACACAGCTGGGTCCCCTCTCTGCACACTGCAAGACTAAATATTCTAATGGACATTGACAACAGAACTCTGACCCACAACCTCTGCAGCCATCAGCTCTAAAAGCCAAACCACCGCCTTCTCAGCAATGAGCCTAGAACAGTCAGGATCTGGTCAATAATGGCCAGTTGCCCTGCGTTTTAATCTCCCTCCTCCCACCCCCTTACTAAGGACCGGCCAGTTATATAAGACTCCTTCCTAGCAGCCAAAAAACACTTAGCACCATTTCTCCTCTGTGGTTACCATGGCCCTGTTGTAAGCCTTAAGAACCCGTGACTAGAACAACGGAATGGTGTAGTCCAGCTAGAGCTTCACTTGAACCTATCACCCAACAGCACCTGTCAGAGCAAGCTCCAAGGCCGGTTCCAACCTCAACCAATGTTATTCTTTGCCTTCCACCCTGAGCCGAGCTTCCTGCCTCTCACCTGGCCCATGGCTTTCCTTGTATCAATCAACGTGACCTTCTCTTCTGGACTTCCACCCACGCTTGCCTCCCAGACTTTCTGGTTACTCTGGGTAACAACCAAGCCCCAGATCCAAAATTCTTGCCCTAATACCCACTCCTGTAGTCCCATGCCCTCTGGATTGTTCTGATCCCTCCTTCTCCAGAAAAGGAAGTGAGACACTGAGAACCCTACCTGACATAAACGAACTTAATAAACTGGGCATATGCTCTGACCAGAATCAAACCCTGACTCCCTGGTTCATAGGTCCACACTTAACCACTGAGCCACCTCAGCATGGCTAGCTTCTGACTTTTAAACAAATTTATGAAATACTCTTTGGGCTGTGTGGCATCTACATGAACTAGACAGCCTCGGGCCACCATTGCGCAATGTCTTTCTTAGCAGACAACTTCTTTGGCAGTCTTCCCGCATCTGTGGAGCGGCTGAGGACACAGAAACCCTGGGGCCAAGGATGGAGCATCTCTAAGAGCTAATGGTTTTGCTCCTGTGGTCTATCCCAGTTAAAGCACCCTTGTCTTCCCACCT